GAAAAAAAGACAAGGTTTTATAGGGTAATAAACTTTGAGCTTTGGGAACCGCATATTGGATTTTTGCTTTAGTGGTAAAGTATCAAGGGGCTAGAGTGACAACTGATATTTTCCTGTCCACGTTGAGGCCGTAAAGATCCCCTATTGGGTAAAATTACGGGATAAAAAAGACTATCCGTACAAATTTATAAAGTCATATCAGTCTCTCATAAAAATGGGAAGCGGGATATCCGTTTTACTACCAGGATTTTATCAGCAATCTGATTTTCCATCGTACAATTTTCAATTCAATCCAATATAACACAGTGTAAACTATTCGGTCTCAACTTTCATTGTTCTTATAAATTTAAGTTGCAACTCTCCTGATTTTGTGATTCCCGTATGACGGAGAACTTATATCTCATAGACCGCTCGCGTTCGCGCAGCCCACAATGGAGCGAAACTTGCGAACACGCAGTTGTTTTAAACATAATTAGTTTGACCGCATTCATCTCAACGTTGGTTTGGAACTTTGCAAGTTGCTGATACCTTTGTCGGTGCCAAAAGCAATCTCAACCTCGGATTTACTTAGATATTGTAAAAAGTTTTACAAAACCTTCTTTTACAGTGGTATTAATTAATTTTAGAGAATGTAACATATTTTGTGTGCACGTTTTATAATTTACGAGGAAATTGCATATACGTGTCATGTTCCAGTTAACATTACAGCTTTGGTTAAATGCTCACGTTGAATTTAGCGAACAATTACGTTGTGGAATAGGTAGATTGTGTCGGTGGTTTATGGTATTAACCGATTAATCGATATCTGTTGGTGACAAGACAACGTATTGTATAACACAGCACGCACGCCCTATAACTGCGCAAGAAGACGCGTTATTTATGTGCATAGTCGAGTGACGTCGGTCTGCAAATTCGGGATTAATGATCGAAATTTTCGGGTCGAGTCGTTTATAACAATAAAACATACCCCGGCCGATTCGATAAACTAAATGCCGGAGCGAAATATTTGTAATGGATGCTATAAATAGGAATATGCCAATATTCGGTTGTCAGATCTGCACATATCGCGGCGTGTAAACATTTACATTCGGTTCGTCACGGTACAATCGTTGTATATTAATCATTTTGAGGTTACTCACTAAACTCATATTGCTTTGTTTTCAAAATTCTTTCAAATTTCAAGACGAATACAACTTCATCACGTTCTGATAGATTTAAGAGTAAAACTTCGTATATTTAACAAATTAAGTCATCACTTAAAGTTGTAAAAACACCACCACCCCGTAGAATAGTTATTTGCTGACCTAACTGCAGAAGTAATACGATATTCAAGCATGCAGCTTGGTCCTAAAAAAATGCATGTTGACGTTGCACGGTCGACGGCACCAAGTAAATCGCATAATTCAACACGGTTGTTTGAGTTAGAGCCCGCTTTATTTGCAGGAACGTTGTTGTGCCGCGCCATTTTAGGTGTAAAGGTCTGTAGGGGTTTGTATTGCATTTTCCAACAGGTCATGTGCATATATTTAATCTGAGGAAAATTTTAACGAAATATTTACTTTGATAGAGAAATTCTCAAACAGGTTAAGGTCGATTTTATTAAGATTAATTTGTGCAAATAAAAGTTTTTCCGTCAATGATATGAGATGCAATGAAAGAGAGAGAGAGAGAGAGAAATTATAGGTCGTTACAAGGTTTAGAGAAATAGTGCCCGGGGAAATGTCCGGTCGTACGGAACGAGAAAATTTCGTTCGTCGGTGCATAAACCGGAGGAACGCAAGAACTCTCCGACCATTCCGGAAGCTGCACCAATAAAGCTCGCCTATTCAGGCAACGGGACGTGACTAACGCGTCCGAATCGGGCTAACAATGGCTTACTTGGGCGATATCGCTTGTACCGTGGCGGACGGCACCTCGCGAACGAAGATATGGTTTGCATTCGAGGGTCACAAAGTCGGTACCATCGTCATAGGTCCATATCTGTGGTCGCTGCGGGGTACAATTTGGCCTGGCGCCAGATTATGATCCGGAAATCGAAAAGCTGCCCGACTCAAGACCGCTTTCTGTTGCGGTTGACCGTTCACATGATATCTCATATGTGTGTATATTCCGCCCACGACATCGGAAAAATTTCAAATCGAGCAACCAAATGGGATGGAATTATTATCTGGGCGATGTAATACCGGCAGATCCTCGAGGAGATTAAAAGATGTTATTTCCGGTTGAATTTACATAGAGATGTAACTTTACAGCCCAGAGATATTCGATTTTAATGCAAATTGTATTAGAAGTCTTCCTGTTTATATCAAAGTTATGAATAACTTTTTGAAATAATTTGATTTATTAACATTTTCCAAATTATATTGATCTATGAATAAAATTATTTTTAATGGTTGTTTATCATGAAAGTTGGTATGGTTGATTGAACGGATTTCGATGTGATCGTTTGGGTTCGCTGTTAAAACCATGGTCCGAGTTTAAAACGGGGTACTGTTTGCAGAACGACAAGCAAACGCAAATCGGGCGCTATTTCGACTCGGTTTATTATCGAATCGAAATTAAATCCGAGCGGGCCGTAGAGCTCGGACCGCGTTTCCGTTTTTATCTTTGTAATGTTCCGCGATAACAGCCGTTACGTGAAGCGTTTTCAATTCGAGCGGCAGGTTGCAACCGTTTCGGGGCCGATTTCGCTAATCGGCTTGCAGTTGAGGTTAATTTTACGAGTTTTCTCAAAAAAGAAATAAAATTTCTCGTGCCTAAATAAGCTGAATCAAATTTCTTTGTATAAAAGGTTTTTCTTTGTGACGTTTAATCATAAGGATGTCTAAGCTAATAACGTACAGCTTCCATTATGTCAGTCCACAAAAGGATAGCGCCTGCGGGTGCTCTACAGTTGTAACCCTTATTTTCAGACGCTTTCCATTCATATTTTCTGAGTAAACTGGTTAGGGCACCCGCAAGATCGTCGCTTCCCATAATTAGATTGCATTGAGCGTAGGTAATTCAATATGTTTCTTGCCGAACCGTGGGGAAGCTGGGAAACTGCTAATTTTCTTGCAACCTCGTTTTGGTGGGAAAATTTCCGACCCCGTTTATAAGATTTCCGTAGCGAGACCGTAATTTTCACGTTAAAATTCATGAGATCGATTACTTAAATCAACTACCTGATGTAAGAATAACCCAATTTGTAACCGTATCAACAAAATTTTAACCCTTAACCTTCCTTCGGTGGTGCATATTAAAGTGAAACTAAGCTATAATACGAAAACAATCAGTATAGAAATGTCGTACTTCATCATCCTCCCCATCTATCTACGATGTTATTATCTGCAATGCAGTGCCGCATCTAATATGTAGTAAAGCACTCGAAATTGCATGGAACGTTTGCGGGGCAACGTGACGCGATATTTCATGCAATTTTAATGTCAGCTCGAGAGAGAAATATTACTAAAACCCTCTTGTACATCAATTATACCATTTTTTATTTGATTTATTACAAAATTTAACTGTACTATTTGGGTTGGGTTCTTCAAAATCCATTTTATTACAAAAATAAAACATTGTTTGGTTAGGTTGTACCAAATTTTAGACGTTAACTTCTTTGAAATTCAATTTGTTTTTCTCCGAAACGGTTTGGGATTTACAAATGAAACTTATTGGAATTATAGAAGGATGTTTGAGGTTGCATAATACCAAATTTCACTTTTCCTGGGTTAATACTTTCTTTAATACAAATTTCTAAAAATCGATTAATTAAATAATGTTTAACTCAAAAATTAAAAACTATAAATGGAAATGGTATTAATACAAATTGCACTTAATAAATCACAAAAACATAATCCGCAACCAATTACGTTCCAACTATTTCGCATTTGTTGTTATAAACCATAGAAACCCAAAATTTGCAGATCGATCAAATCTGACCATCGATCAGATAATGTGGGGTTCAAAACACATTGCGTGCGATTATTTGCCAGTTGATTTGCAAATAGATTTTCATTGTTCGAATGCTAAATTGAAGAGATTACTAGGTTCTAGGTCAGCACGAGATAGCTAATGAACAATCAATGATTCTTCTTATAATGACATATCACTGTAATAACTCACCGCACTAGATGAAAAAGATATCTTATTGCTAGTTAGATTATCATTGCATGTAATGTAGTTTGTTAACCACTAAAGAATATTTTTTGAAGTAGTATTTAGCAGCTAGTGGTTTTGATTAAGATGTATAAAATTTTTTTATTCTACACATTATCCATATGTGCCACAACTTACTTTGTCTTGAAGTTTTGAAAGATTAATTTCGTGTAAAAAGCTTTATAAATAGTTACACGAATTAAAGACCTTATTTTAACTGTTGGTTGCACGAACACATATATATTTGTTACGGTTTCTTCGTGTTACATCGAAATCGTCTTGTTTTGTTAACCCCTCTAAAAAATGACCCGGAAATTCTAAAACCACAGATCGTTAATAGTCACGGTCCTGTGACAAAGTACCCGTGCAAAGTAAACACCGGAAGTTTTTATTTTCCCTATATACAGGATGAAGTTGGGAAACGATTTAAACGGGATTAATTTCCTTTGGGACATTGGGAATTTCTTTTCGAGATTTGATTTGTGTGAGATTATAACGAAGACTTCCATGAATTTCGCGTGATTATCCAACCTTTTGATCGCGGTTAATTCACGTATTCGACCCGATTTGAGATCGGAAATTGAATCTTCGTTAGGGGTTCGATTGAGTTTGAAGGTTTAAATTTTGTAAAGGAAGGACCTGATCGTAAAGCAAACCGTAGCGTGAACGTGCACGAATTGATACGGGAGCGTGCATAAATTTGCGTAAGTTTACTGCCACCAATCGATTTTGTATTTCAGCTCCATTGAGCTTCCTTATGTACTTGTTGTTCTAGGTAATAACCTAGTTAGGAAGTTTTCCTTTTACGTCATTAATAAAATGATCATATTTCATTTTAATGAGAGGTACATTTTACTTACAGTTCGATTTCCTAAATTCTTCACTCGACAATGTAACATAACAGTTTTCCCAACCAACCCTGTTATGTTTGAATTGACGCTTGTATCAAAATAGGGACCGGTACCTGGAGTTGGCCACTCTTGGAGGAAGTCGCGGAATTTTTTTGAACTGCTTTCTTCAGCACCTATAAATAAAAATTGAACAGTGTTTATTCATACGAACTGATCAATATTTCATTGAATACATTTCGTTTTGGATCCAATTTTATTTTGAGTATAAACAACGTAATTTATAGGATCGAAACACAAATCCTACCCTTTTTCCCTCTATTATATTTTGAATAATGCATTATATTATGTCCAATTATTTGTTGAACTAGGGGGGAAATAAACCATCTTGCATCTAGACTGCAGGCTATTTTCACGGCCATTTCAGGGTTTACCGTTTGCAATTCAAATATGGCTCGGGTGAGGGTAAGAGCTAATACAGATTCGGCCTGGGGCGTATATATAAAATAAACATGAAGTCCCAGATAAGCAGTTTTATATTTTACCGCGACGTTCCGAATAATTTTGTTTACTTTTATGATTACCATACTATTACTAGAGGGAACCTTCATGCTTCATCCGTTATTGCCAACAAGGAAATCTCGCCTCTACCCTGCACACACGTGTATTAATGTTCGATATCTTGACAAAAAAAAGTTGCCACGAACAATATATGAAAAGGATCGTACTCGAAACGCAGTAAATAATGTACCGGTCGTTCTGATATCGACGCTCTGTATGTGCAACTACCGCCCTAGCAGTAAATAACCTTTATTCCTAGAACGCTTTATTTATCACCTTCGAGCACGGACTCACCTAAATCAACATTACATGCCGTGATCATGTGCGCGGTTGTGTTATACAAATCGTTTCTCGACGAAAGACGACCCACCAGTGTGAACATCGTAAACTGAAAACAGCTATTTAGGCCCATACTCACGACTACGATATAACTTACAACACTATATCTCGGCTAAACGTGACACCGTTCTTGATGAAAACTTTTAAAGAATTACGAGAAAAGAAAAATTTTAAATCGTATTAATTAACTTGTTTAATACCTTTTCACGTTATCATCCAAATATGAAATTATCTATATTTACAGATTTGAGCAATCGATAGTTTGCCCAACTCCGGTTGATCCATTCGTTCAATTTACGAAATTAAATTACATATGCATGTATGCTTGATTATAAGCGCCACCGTCGTTTTGATGTATAGCATATAACTAATTGCGAATGGTAATTTCCAACTACGTATTTCATTTTGTACTGGATGGGTTTACACAGAGAATTTGCGTTTTGAATGGAACAAAGAAACTGTAAAATTTCGAATATTATATATTAACATTATCAATATCGCTTCAAATTAAAATAGAGCATGCATTTTAACTTAATCCGATTCTTCCGGCGCATCCACCATTTTTTTTGGATTTTTAACAACAAAGCATTAATTTTTATTTATCATCTTTTGTTTTTAATAACTTCACTTCTCAATTTTAAAAACTTCATACAATTAAGGAGAAGAAACAAGAAAATATACAACAAAATTTGTTGTATAAACTTTTTATTTGTGAACCGAATCAAAAAAAAATTCATTAGATTATCTAAAAAAATGTTAGAGTAGTATACTCAAAGTAAAAACGTATGACCTAGTGACCATCTCGGTTTCTCCCCCATTACATAGCCCTTAATAAATTAGTTAACCTCCTGCTAAAACCGACTCTCATACCTGCTGACACGACATTAGCCTAACTAGAGTTTAATTGAAGTAGACGAGAATGCTAATGGCGTTGAAACGCGCCCTTTACACGCCTCCATAGGTAAATCGGTTTGGGGGTACTTTGTGAGTTTTCCTTCGTCTTACCATTTTCCGGCGACTTTTCCTTAGAATTAATATCGTGGAATTACCACCGCATGAATTTCAATGACCGCGTTAGTCACGGCCGTCGCGTCCACCGCCATTGCGCTAATAAAAGTTTAGCCACCGCATTAAGGGATGATTTTACACGAGGTGGTCGTGCGAATTTCACCGCCTGCACAGCATTTCTCCATTCGCAGATCGGGATAATTGTGATTTATGAACTGCGACTGAATTTTCGTTGTCGCGTTGGATTGTGAATTAATGGCTTCTCTTGGGTATTTGAAAAATTTTTTTATCAACACCACAAAAACAAGAATGATATAAAATAAAAATATTTAGTCAGTATAACGTCGAATAAGAAACTTTTTACCGGCTAGTACCAAACAAGTTGAGATTATTTTCGTAATTAATATTGCCCGTTGTGTAATGCTCGATAATTAAAAGTTTTAATTAAAAGTTTTTCGGCGCAGGCAGTCCTTAATTAGCAAAATTAATAATGTGCATTGTCTTGACTGGGTATTGTAGCGGGCGGAAATAGTGATGACTCCTGAAAAATTCTGAGTCGTCTCAAGCGGCATTCGCTTGCTGTTTAATTAAAGTGTCAGATTTCTCATTATGTACAGCAGAGCGATTTCTCTTTTGAAGTGGTTAGAATTTAAACCCGGCATCATAAGAAAAACTCATTACAAGTTACCTTTAATTATATTTGGCAATGCAGCCCCTCATAACATCGTTTTATACACTTTTTATTCTCATTCATCGAATGCAACCGGAAACTGATATAATCCCGTATTTAATTAGGATAAACTAATTTGACTTTTTAGTCGGGCACGTTCGTTACGCTGTGAAATATTGTGTTTGAAACAAAAACGCGCGTCGATGTTGGCCTCAATTTATCACTGACGCACTTTTAGAGAATAAATTGGGACACGTACAAAAACGTAATTTATTTGCATTTACCCTTAATGCTAATTAAAACAAATAAATATGTTCCTGAATCATATCTACTGAAAATTTTTTATATAAATAAATAACAAAGTTGTACAAAAACAACAAATCCGAGGTTGTCGACGGCGTAATTGGATCCCTTGATTACAATTTCCTTGTTTTGGTACCCAACCTCTAGTCGACAAACAACCACAAGAGTTCAGGCTACCGTACAAAGCTCTCAATTACTATTAGTTGATCCCAAAACCAGAATATGCAAATATATTTGAACTACGAACAAACAGGCTTTGGGGTATACATTATACAGTAACTTTCTCTGAGAGAATTTATCTGCCATAAAAATTTATTTACAATTTTTTTAATTGTTTTTGTTTGGAATGTTTACTTGTTTTTTTGGGTTAACGAACGCAAAGCTCCACCGCCGTTATTAACATCAATAACACCGACTTTTTTTCGATTCAAATACTACAAAATGAACAAATAACAGAAACCGATTTTAACCGCATCAAGTAATTACTCCAAAATTGAAAAAAAAATAGTAAACAACAAAAAAAAATTAGGTTTAAAATAGTGGAAAAGGTATTGTAACCGGAAAAGAAAAGCGATTGCAAACGTTTTTCAAAGCTTCGACACAAATAGGAAACACAACAATCGCTAGAAGATGAGCAAGACTCTAGTCCACGGAGATGGGAACCCCAGAGAATGTAAGTCCATTAGACGGATTGATTCCACGAGAATTTTATGAACGCCACACGATGTCAACTTTAAGCCAGGCAACGCCATCGTCATCATCATCGTCGTTCCGTACCGTTGCACGAATTGTACAAAAGGCGTCGTGGTACGCGAAGAAATCGCGAAATAAGATACTAATACGTGTGGAGGCGACGGGACTACACATTTGCCATACCCCCTAATGGATATGGAACGCTACTTTTCGAACAATAAAAGCGTACCTACGAACGATTCTTTGTTCTAAAGCAGGACTCCGCCTCCACTTAGTCTAAGAATTTGCGGCTAAGAGATTGTTGTTTTTCATAAGTATTCAAAAGTAGTGATAACCCGCACGAATAAAAACTGCTTTACCCGAAAAAAGAACCGTGAAATAAATTTTCATAAAAGTGGCCCGCTTAAACTGAAAAGAAAGTCGTCCGCTCTCGCGTTAATTAAAGCTGAAAGCTTTTAAGAGAAAAATCGATTAGGTCTGCCATTGTATCTACGATGATTAAATTCGATATTTCACGTCACAGTAGAGTTACTAAAAGTAGATAAACGTTAATTCCTTGTTCACTTAAAAAAATATTATACCTACATACTTTTTGTTTGGATCTAACTATAATGCATAATTTGTTCTTTAATTCATCTTTATATCTCAATTTGTTCTTGAGATACGATTGTTTTTTAAAATTTATAAAAATTTATTTCTGCCAATCATTAAGAAAAGAGAAAGATGAATCAAATTTATTTATCGTAAAATCTTCGATTGATTAGTTTAGTTGAAATTTGTATGGATGTTTAGGTACTATTAAAAACCTTTCAAAATATAAATTAAATGAAATTCGAGTTGCAAAATTGAAGTGGGTATGTCCTGAATTTATATTGAATTTGTGTAACCTTTTTAATAAATAAAAATACTAGTATTATTGCCGTGCGTTATTAAAATAATAATGCAAAAATATATTACGTTGGTAAAAAACAGATAAAAATAAAAATAAAAGAGATCTTATAACAAAAATTCGTTATTACACGAAAAAAGAAAAAACGGATGATGATTTGACCGCAAAATGTCTTTATTATATTCGGTCTAGTTCTTTTTTAGAAAGGTCCTCGCTCGTGGAAAGTGACAATAAAAAAGGATACCATATCTCCTTCAACGAGAAAGATAGATCGTTAGGGGTTTACGGCAGCCATAAATTATATCCCGTAATAGTTTTTCTTTAATTAGGGGTATCCTTAAGGTTTCTCCAGACTTAATTGGATATTATTCGTACTGAAGCAAAAACCATAAAAATGATTTATATAAATAGGTATTTATAAATTCAAAGTGAAAGATAATACATTCAAAGATTAAATGTTTCGATTACGTTTCATATTCTTGAAACTAGAACTTGAAATGAAGGCTTCATTTTCACTTTACGCTGCCGGAAGCGGTTGGAACTCGAATCGAGGGACGACATAACGTTACCGCTCTGTACGTAATAGTTCGAGTTGAATCCAAAGCGGAGATATGAAAGTTTCGAAGGGCAAAATAAATTACGGGGATAAAACTTGCCATTAGGGCGTTTCCTTGGACATCGGTGTGACCAGAGTCGCGTGAAATACGAGGATT